AAGATCGGACCGATACTGTTTTCCTACACCGTTACAATTTACGTCGGTTTTACCTAACCGACGCCGAGATTCGAAGACCCTAACCTAACGCTAAACGCATATTACGAACCTAACGCACTAACCGCAGAGCCATCGAGGCCTTGATAGTTATTATTGTAACTATCATTTATATTATAATTGATAATTATTATAAGTTCATTTGCTTTTTTCAGGGGCGTAGGCAAAAAAGAAGTTTTAGGAAAGATTTTATGTTTGCTCAGATTTGTCAAAAAAATTCAAAATTTTACGGGCGTGGAGGTTTTAACCCCAAAACTACCCACTATGTTTCTTGGGTGCTCCCTGAATCCACGTCTGATACTGTAATACAATAATAAATTTCTTTTCGCTATTTTCATTCAAAGAAATATATTTTTAATAGTGAAAATATTCAATGGGACCGTTCTTAAAAACGGCTCCATAGATTATTTTCATTTTTTTGAGAAAAGTTTCTATTTTCCATATACTTTCACGAGAAAAAAGAATTTTTACTGAGAAAAAACTTTTGTGTTGAGTCTGGTTAAGGCGCACCGTGAAACTGTACCCAACCTAAATATGTATTTGTTAGAGTAGTTAATTTCAGACTGTAAATGAAATTTATTAAATAATTAGTTAAAATTTAAAAAATAATTAATTTTAATTTATTAAATTCTAGAATTTTAAGCTTTTTAGTTTAAAATTTTAAATAAAAATTGTAATAGTTTAAAAATAATAAATATTTAAATGATACATTCATATTATTTGACTATAAAGTTTTTTTGACATTTTACAGTTTAAATATAAAAAGTCATATTATATAAATAGTAATTTATTTAACTCTTAAATTTTATTTAGAACATATTAACACAAGATGTAATTATTCCAGTAATTATTATATAAATATTAAAAATATGTTTTCAAACTTTTTTAAACAAATTATCATTATTCATCAAGGAACATGTTATATAGCAGAAAATGTAATAACTAGGCCGAAATAATAAATATAACGAATATATTTTTAAAGTAACTTTTATTTATTAAAAACACATCTTGAAGTTAGACAGTTCTATAGAAAATCAATTATATGAACCTTTTAATTTAATTAAAGAAAAATTGATATTAATAGTAGTTACTATTTAAAAAAAACTATGATCACTGAACTGCATAGAATTTGCCACGTGCGTTCGTTATAAAACAATTGAGTGTGAATTATTTGAATAGAACTGCGTTGAGTTAAAATAATTTGAAGTCAGAGAAACGAGACTTTAGTAATTGGACACGAGTTCTGTATCATACAAGTGTGCTTGATCGAACACGTGCACAACACAAATTGCCTTTGCAGTTAGAATAGTATCAGGACTATTAATTGCTTATACGAGATTGATTACGAAAAAATAACATGGCTTAAGTAATAAATATTTAGAAAATTTGTATATTGAGGTACATACATATATTGAGATTATAGAATATATTAAAGAAAAGAAAATTTCCAGTGTAATTAATTAATTACTAGCTTAATCAAAATCAATAATTTATTTATTTATTTATACATGTAAACGGGCTTACAAAAATAATATCATAATAAAATAATCATAATATTATTATTATGATTATTATTATTCTTGTGAACACTACAAAATTTCCTTAAGATTTTTATAAGTCAGAAGTTTTAAAAAATGCAATCTTTTACATTCAAAAATTGTAATTTTTTATTTTCAAAACCACGAATTCTGAATTTAAGGGTTGTTTTTGGGGATGGGTAATAAGTCATTTTCAAGCAGGGAAATGTTTCAGAATGTTTTATGGCTGTTCAGTGTTTGAGAATAAGATTTTAATTTTTTTTTGGTTGTCAATAAATTTAATGAAAGAATTTTGAATTTAAGGGTTGTTTTTAAGAATGGTTATAAAGTTGTTTCGGAACTGTGAGGTGTTTTAGATTGTTTTTATGGTTATTCACAATCAGTCTACAAGAATAATAAATATAACATTTTAATTTTTTTCTGATATTAAGTTTTATAACAAATTTTTAGCTCAATCTATCAAATATTTTGCGAGAAAACCTGTGGAGAATATTTACATGTTAAGTTACAACAATCACATAACTTGAAAAAAAACTTTTATTTTCTACCTCATATATCATTTATATATTGTTGAATAAGGGAGGGAGGGGACTGGAAAAATCTCACCACGGGGGGCGAGGGTCAATCAAAATCTTTCGTCAACTTTTTAATTTTAGAAAATACAAATTTTACTGTAACAAAAAAATATTTCGTAATACATAAAAAGTAGCACACGGTATACCTGAAGTGGAATTGAATAAAAGGTGCTTACAACAAAGCAGGAAATGCCTTAGGATTTTTTAGTGAGCAGGCTATCGATATTGTTACAATACATTCCTGGTGGAACAGACGTTACTGAAAGTTAGGTTCGATTATATTGAAAAAAAAACTTTTTAGAAAAAAATGTTTAAAAATTTATATAAATAAAAAACATATGACTGAAATAGAAAAAAATCATGATTTTTAGCAGCCTTGAAGTGTAATTTGAATATTTGCATTCTTCCTTCTTATGTTGGAGAAAAATAAAAACTCGCACGTTGGGGGGGGGGCTTTACAAAATCTCACCATGAGAGAGGGGGGTCCAGATTTAATAAAAACACCCCTAGTAAAAATTCTGGACTGTTTCCGGACTAATCTGGAATTAGTCCGATGCAGTCCGGTTTATTGTCAGGTTTTTGTACATTTGCCCAGTTTGTGTAACTACACGGAGAAACTTTGAGTATTACTTTTTCTTAAACTCACTATGTATTTTTAGTAAATTGACTACTAAAGTGGGGAAAAACTGCAACGATATCAATTTTTCTTAGTCTGACTACTAAAATTTGGCATTTGATCGAAAATTAAATTTCACGAAAAAACATATCGTCGAATGTCAATTCAAGCCGTCACCCATCCAAGTACTAACCGCGTCCAACGTTGCATAACTTCCGTGATCTAATGAGAACTTGTTCCTTCGCCTTGGTATTTCCGCTGACTTGTCTTGATTAATAACTTTCTCGTATATGTCGTATAAGTATTGTATCGCACCTAACCTCACTTTTAGTGACACGAAGTAACACAAATACACTTCAACTTTACAAAAAAAAAAAAAAATAAAAACAGTGTTCATTTGAAACCGATTCTCAATAATTAAAAGAATTATATATGCTTGGATAAGAGATGTACATGACATGATATATTTTTTTGGGGGGGTTTCATAGACAAGCTCACATGTGCTCAGGAGAGTACTGTATGTTTTAAGCGCCCCTAACTTCATAAAAACAGTATTTTCGATGTATAATCTAACCGGATTGTGAAATTTTAAACAAAGAAAAAGAAAAATAACCTAAAGTAAAGCTTCATTAATATTATTTATGATTAAATTAAAAGTTAATTAATAATTGTTGCGATTAAGTCGGGGCTTCATCTACTCCCTTTTTAGTTACGACACTGTCCACGTCGAATTTTTCTTAACTTGACTACTAAATATTGAAATAAAGAAGTCATATATTGTTAAAGAGACTTCTATTAAATATAAGAAAGTTCGTCTTTTTCCCGTTTTTTCCCCACTTTAGTAGTCAATTTACTAAAAATACATATGAGTTTAACAAAAAGTGATACACAAAGTTTCTCCGTGCAGTGAATCCAGAATTAATCAGGTCTAATCCGAAATCAGTCAGATCAAACGTAACTACCCTGTTGAAAATTCCTATGTGAGAACACATATGGGATCCCATCCAGGATCTCTTGTGAGTTCTTATGTGGGTTCCCATACAGGTTCACACATAAGATCCTGTATGAAAAGGTTCCTGGGATGAACTTGCGTGAGAGCAAGCGCATGATCTTATGTCTCTGTAAAAGCAATAACACAGGATCCCATGAGGTTTCCTGTGTAGGTTCCTATATGAACAACACGATAAATAGGAACACACATGGGATCTTATCCGAGATCAGCTTATTAAGCTGCTATTAATCTTCTTATATGTGAGAATCTATGTAAGAACTCATACAAGATCTCGGATAAGATCCCATGTGTGTTCCTATTTATCGTGTTGTTCATATAGGAACCTACACAGGAAACCTCATGGGATCCTGTGTTATTGCTTTTACAGAGACATAAGATCATGCGCTTGCTCTCACGCAAGTTCATCCCAGGAACCTTTTCATACAGGATCTTATGTGTGAACCTGTATGGGAACCCACATAAGAACTCACAAGAGATCCTGGATGGGATCCCATATGTGTTCTCACGTAGGAATTTTCAACAGGGTAGTGAATGCAGATTCTAGATTTACTGCCTAATTAAATAGGCCAGATTAATTTCGGAATCAATAGATGTAATCAGTTTTTTGATAGTACTTAATTCGAATTAATGCGCACTCATCATCATTTCAGGAAACGAGAATGGAATGTTGAGGAAATGTTGAGTACTATTATTATTGTATCTACTGGAGTTTTTGGGAACTATCGGCGTATTGCCAAGCTGTAATAAATAATCTAAATTTTCACAATTATTGGGAATATTTATAATATTTAATTTATTTATTCTCTTATTGAATATTTTTGCACATTGCAAGTTTGTAATTAATGAGAACATACAATATCAACAATGATAGATTCTTAATTTTTATAAAACATTGTCAGTTTACAACAGTAAAATGCTGGTATGCTTATTCACAAATTAACTTAATTAATCAGCTTCAATATTTCATCAAAAGTAATAAAATTTTCAAATCTGCAACTTTGAAACCATACTGTTTATTGAAAAATATTTTAGTAACTTTTTTTGGTCTTCTGGAACACTATGAAGTGGTCATTAGTTACAATTTAATTAAAATATATTTATCTTCATTTTAATGTGTACAAATTGAAAATTAAAAATACTTGTTTTTTGTTGAAAATATTTTTTGTTGAAATATGAAAAAAGTATATAACGAAATAAATAAGTCATTTTTTCCAAAGTTTTTTATTTCTTAAGTTTCAATGTTAAACAACGTTTTCATTTTCTGAATCTGGCTATAATTTAAAATAAGCCAATCCATTCATAACTGTTGAAAGTTCTAGATTGTAGACGGGCTGAATAGGATTTACAGAATTAATGTCTTGTGGTCCATTTATTACTGGGCACTCTGAATTTTGTGCAACAGATAATCCACTTAGAGCATAACAAGTATGGTATACATCACGCCCCCTGAAAATAAAATAATTACCTAGATTATAAGTATTATTTTTAATAATATTTGATTAAAGAAGGTAACTCTCTTTAGTATTATATTACGGTATTTAAAATGTATAAGAAACATTTTACAACAGTAATTTTTTATCTTACAGGTATAAACATGGCGCTTTTAGATGCCTGATGTCAGGGTGTAAAACCAGTAATTTGTTCTACGTGTGAAAATGGCATCCATTTTTCCCTAGGGTGAAAATAAACAGCTGGGTCATGGATTGGTTTCCATTGTCCCCACTCGCCATTTCTCATAATTCTCGTCAACTACCGCACCCTGTTCTAGTGAAAATTTAGTAACTTTTAATTTTAACAATAAAGTCACTAAATTTTTATTAGAGCAGGGTGTGGTAGTTAACGAGAATTATGACAAATGGCGAGTGGAGACAATGGAAACCAACCCATGTATTTTTTTATTCCAGGGTAAAAATGGATGTCATATTAATTATTAAGAACTTCTGATTTCCGCACTGTACAAAATAGAACAGTTTAATATAGTAAATTAATTAAAAAAATTCTTACTTCTCTGGTTTATCTAGAAGTCCTCCGTCTGAATCTTGACAACATATTAATAAATATTCTTGTAAAGCGTTTTGATCAAAAAGCCAATATTTCAACTTTAGATTTGGATTTTGTTTTAATAAAATTGCATGGATTATTGGAAAAATTCCACCATGCCAAAAAGAATAGCATCCATCTACTAATTTATTCGTTCTTCCTTGAAATCCACCCTCTAATAACATTTGCTTGTTAACAGCCCATCGCTAAAAAAATAAAACATTCAAATGCATTAGACATTAATTAATAAAATTACTACAGTTAATAAAGTGAAAAAAAATTATTATTAAACTTCAATAAATTGATAACAAGTCGAGATCACATAAAGATTTCAATTGAAATGACAAACTTCGGAAAATGGCTATATCTGAAAGTCATAACATTTTGAATTCGATATTTTGTTATTTTAGGTTTTTCCTACAGTTGTTTCTTTTCAAAAAAGTTTGGAATTAAAAACATAAAAAATTCTCACATTTTTTTGTATAAACAATCATAACGTCGAAAGGGGTGCAGTTCCGAAAGAGGTCCACCTCCGATTTGAATGAAACTGGGTATACTAACGTATTTTGGTGCGCTGATTACGAAAATAATAGTGAAAATTTGCGCAAATTTGATTATCATGGTGAAAATCATAAAAAATACACCATAAAATCATGGTTTTTTGTGATTAACTTTAAAAATAGGCAAAATTTTGAAAAATGCCTCAGACAAAAGTTGAATGTCTTATCAAAATACATATTTTATGTTATATACATTTTTTCAAAAAAATGCGTTATTTTTGAGATAAATGCAAAAAATGACAAAACACCATGAAATTGATAATACGTACAATATTGCAACATTGAAATCGCATTGGGTCTGATTGAAGTAGGCATTGTCTATACGGTTTGTGATTCATTATTTCTTATAAGTGGATGAAACTTTTAAGATCTTTAGGTTGTTACAAATGACTCTTCATGAGTCAATTAGTTTGTGGCAATTTTATTTGCAGGAAAAAAGGCAAATATGAACATAAAAAAAGTGTTGCCAGCAATACATGGTTCTAGAATAGACATGTTTCTGCAGCAACCTGCACAATGATCACGTAAAGTTTTGCTATGTAAAAATGTTATTTCTAAGGAGATACTTATTTTTAAACAAAACTGCAGAACCTGCTTGCAATTTTTAGTAGCAAAGTTACTGGAAAAGTCTTCTTTAAAATATCCTCTAACAGAAGCTTTGATCTGTTTAAATCCTTCCAAGATATCTTTTTACACAACAGGCGCAAAGAAAAAACTGCTCGACGCCTTGGATATTCTTCGAGAAGAAAATATCTTTGATTCTAGTGTAATTCAAAAAGCCGGGCCGGTGGTAAAATCTGACTATATAACCGGTACCGGTCCAGTTGATAAACAGTAACTGGCCCAGCACCGGCCCGGTACCACATGTCAATACCGTTTTTATACCGGAAATGGAGTTATGACGGCATCACAATTTGTACCGGCCCAGCACCTGTCCGGTACCACTTTTCAATACCGTTTTTTCACCGGCAATGGCGTTTTGCCGGCATCACAATTTGTACCGGCCCGGTACCACTTTTCAATACCGTTTTTTCACCGGCAATGGAGTTTTGCCGGCATCACAATTAGTACAGGCCCGGTACCACTTTTCAATACCGTTTTTTCACCGGCAATGGTGTTTTTTCCGGCATCACATCAAGTCTTTTCCGATTTAATCTTATAGAATTTTGATAATTTAATAAGATATTAAATTAATTTCATGCCACTGCGTTTCTGAAAGTTTTTTCTTTAAAGCCAGTACCGGGACGGTACCGTGTCAGCGGTTTCTCTTTTGCCTCCGTCCCAACGTATATTGTTATAAATGTATGTATAGTACTAAATAATTATTAACTTTGCCATTACATAATTGAAATTGACTTTTAGAAAAGTTGTTTTCTATTAATTTAGAACTTTTTTCAAATGGACCTGGTTTCAAACTTTATAAGCGCACTTTGCATTTACTTTTTATAAGCAGGTTTAGGTTAGCGGATGTGGCATCGACTTTGCAGTTCAAGGGTCCTGAGTTCAATTCCTCGTGTCTTCAGATTTTCTGTTAATTATTAATAATGATTCATATGTTTCAGCATTCTCTTTAGTGTTTATAATTAAATTAAATAATAATTAATACTGTTTAATGTTTAAAAAATATGAAATGTGTTGTTAATAAAATATACTGATCTGACACCGCGCCAGCATAACGCCAGTAGAAAATTAATCGGCCGGCGGAAATGCCGGTATCTCGCCGGTAGTGTGCCGGCATTCGATCCGGATATATTCAGCGAATCTGATTTTGTTCAAACTATTGAGCAAAATAAGATAGAAACTGAGTGCGAGGTTCGCGTTAATGAAGAGGAGCAGTGACGAAACGTCGTGCCAGGTGTTGGACATAAGGTGGCTGTGCTTACTGTATCAGAACCTTCGACATCTAAAGCATCTTCAATAAACTGCCTCTCACTTTTGGAAGAAATTGGTCCTCTGCAGGCAGTTACACCAAAGAAACCTTCGAATTGTGGCCGAAAACCGGTGCAAAGTACCGTGCTTACTAATCCTGAATGCATTGCTTCATTGAAGGCAAAACCATCTAAGAAAGCGGCTAAGCCTGCACCTATGCAGTCATCTGTTTTGCCTCAGAAAAAGCGTGGTCGGAAGTTAACATCAGACGAACCAGCGGCCAAGCATACGAAAGTAATACCATCCAAACCAGCAGCTAAGCGTACGAAGGCTTAGCAAAGAATGTAGTCGTCCGGTGCATTTGAAGTGCATTGATATTCGTGACAACTGCTTCATATGTAAGAATTGTGAGCAATGAGTAATGTAAAAACTTTATTTTATAACATTATTAATTTCTTATATTAAATTTCATTAATTAAAATGATATTTTAATACATTATATTAAAAATAATAATAATAATTAATAATTATAACAATTAATATTATTATTTTATAACATTTATGCAATAAATAAATAAACCTACATTTTCTTAAGAATGTTGATGTTTTGGAAAGTGGTCCGTTTGGAAGGACTTGGAAGTAGAAGAGCAAAACTTTCGAGTGTCAGCAGCGGAAGAAGTTTTATTCCGTCTGACCTAGACAACGAGAGAATTGAAGAAGAACGCGAAACGTGTTTAAAGTTTAGAGAAAAGGAAGCTGAGTGTTTTCAGAGAATCGAAGAGGAGATCATCAATATGGTAAAGTCTTGCGAAGTCCAGAAGAATGTCAACATGACTATTAAGGACGGACTTAAGGTTCTTCAGGATCTTATCAGTGAGATGAAGGAAAAGCACGCCCTAGCAAATAATGGAGATGACCGACTTCAAAAACAGTGTTCCGAGAAAAATACGATTAAAGTTTTAAAGTGAAATATCTCGCAGAAAAAATTTTTGTGTTTTAAATTACATAAAATCGTCGATTTCGGCACAAATTAACAACTAAAATATTTGGAAATAGTTCTTAGAAAGTGTAAACAAGCAAGAGAGACAGAAAAACAATAGCTAAGGAGCTGTGTCAAGTTTACATGCGACGCGCCAGGTTGACGTACCGTGCGGAGGGAACTTCCGAAGGTTGAATTTTGTATAATATTACTTCAATCGATTTGGAATTTCAGGACAATAGTCTGAACATATTAAACTATTTTTTAAGCAAAAAACATTTTTCCAAAGTTGAAACCCACCTAACCCCTTTTGTGGGTCGACTAGACCAAAAACGGTCATCTTCACAAAACCTAAGAGCACCGGGCTCAAGGTATCTGCCTTGGATATCAAGGGTTATGAAGATTTTTAACTTCCCTCGTAAAAAACACACAATTTTAAACATATAGAGCTTTTTAAACGTAACAATAATACCATACCAATCTACAAAGAAATCTTTCAAATTATCACAATGTTAATGTTAAAGCAAAAAATATTTGAATAAAACAAATAAGTTAAATTTTTTGTTAGAAACAATAGTCATCCGCTAACGTATAGAAGATATCAGAATCAATTGACATTCGCAAACATATAAAAAATAGGAGAAACAATTGAGAGTGCCCCGGTGCTCTTCATATGTTTGTAAAAGCAAATGTGCTTCGTTTTCAAAATATTTTATAGTTTTTTTTGCAGATTTTATTTATTGTAATTCCAAAAGCACGAATCATTTTCGATCAAAAAGGGAAATCGAATTGGAAATTATGCTGAGCGATTTAAAAGAAAAATTTTCCACTTTGCCAAATTATGGTCCATTAAGATTGCGAATTCTCACCATACTTCCAAAAACATGGAGTCTGAATAAAATTTCACAGGATTTTGACTGCAGTTGGTCATTTGCAAAGAAAGGTAAAGACCTTATAGAGGCAAATGAGATTTTGGCAGATACTACATTGAAGGCTGGCAATCTATGTCACAATAAATCACCGCGAGTACAAAGTGGATTTTGCAAAGGCTGCCATCGATATCACTTTTAAAAGCTTCTACGCGCTACAGTTACAATACTCTAAAGAGGTAGAGTATGCATGAATTTTCCTACAAAAACAGATGTACAAAATAGATTATGAAACTGATGTAAATGTACCTTGCGTTGTAAATCTAATGAAAGATTTAAATGAGTTTTAAAAATACTTCTTATCATTGAAAGTTACTGAAGACAAAAATAATAATAATTATAAATAAAAAATAATTTTATTTATAAAGTAATTTTGTTTATTGAAAGTTATTATTTAATGACCAATGAAATCTTTAATAGCTTAATTCTGTGATTGAATACTCAAAAATTAAGGCTGTTTGCTGTAAGTTTTCTAATTGTAAGTTAAGATTATTATCGTATTACATTAAGTGTTGAATAGATGTTGTTAGCTACTTTTTAATATTTTATTTAATTTACATATATAGGGGAGAGCGGGGCAAAGCCGCTATGCGGGGCAAAGGCGTTTTTCGAAATATCTTCTTTCTTTCTAATCTATTACCATTTTCGTTAACAGTTTATTATTAATACGATTAAAGCAATAGATTGGAAAAGAAACAGCTAAAAAATATTAAATATATTAGGAAATATAACATAAAAATAGTTTTTGCAAGGAAGAGATTTATTTTAGTATTCAAATTTATTATTAACATTAAAAAAATGAGAAATTTTATGTAAATATAATATTAATATTTCATAATATTTTCGCGCCGTTATTTAAATTATTTTTG